AAATGTTTATATGTTTTATGTTATTTTCTGTATTTTTATTCTTTCTGTAATCTTGTATATAATATGTAGTTTAGTGGGACCTATTGAAAATTAGACTTCTGTCTAAATGGGTTGCCAAATAAAGTTATTATTATTATTATTACTAATGTATGAGAGGATTTTTATACCCATTCATACTGATAATCACTGGAGTTTAATCATTATTTATGGAAATAGTAAAACTATTAAATATTATGATTCCATTTACAGTTTATAATGTAATAGGTAAAAGTTTTTCTAGAAAGATTAGAAGATGAAACAATTTCTTCTTGGAAAACTATTTGTGTCCTCCACCCAACTCCCCACATCCGTCAAACATATCAGAACAATTTTATGGTGTGAAATGTCATTTATTTTGCATGACCACAAGAATATGAGAAACATAAAATATTGGTGTAAAACTTACACTACATAAAACAACTCAAATATCTAATAATGCTCATATTCCTGTTGGGCTAAAACAATAATGATAAAATACGCCCAACAGGATTCAAATTCACTAAAACATTTATAGCAACAAATTGAAGCAAAATTATAATAAGTAAAAAAAAAAAAAAAAAAAAGGAGGGAGGCAAGGGGAGGTGGGGGGTAGTTTAAAAACTGCAAAATTACAACAAGTGTTTAACAGCCTTGGCGGGTTTCTTGAAGAATGACCCGGATGTTGTTTTATTAATAGTATGCAGAAAATAACCACACACCACAGAATTGGTTGAAACACAAAACGTATTATTTACAATAATATTTATTTTTGAAAGGAATATAACTATACAGCCAAATTCTTATGATTGTGATGTATGTGTTTGTATGAATTCTGAATTAGAATTAAAACAAAAATCTCTAAAAGTAAGTAAACAATATATAGTTAATTATAGAAATATAATTAAAAATTCAATAATCCAGTACAGTAATTAATTATATATAAACATAAACTCTAATGTCACTGTCTATATGACTTGACATTACTAGCTTTATTATATTCCTAAATGATGTGTTATGAAAAGTATTTAAAGATTAAAGTCTTTTATTAAATTGAAAACCTCAAAGTGCCTAAATTTATATTGTAATTTTTAAAAAAGAAATGTATTTATAGTATTCAATTTAATTTTGACTAAGGCCATACAATTGTTTTTATGCTTGAATCCTACTTATCCTAGTTATTTATACAATATTTTTTTGGTACTTAACATCTAAAGAGACTAAATCAAAATAGATTTGATAAAGTAATTCTATAGAACAAATTAATCCTTGTACCTTGTCATTTTCATCTTACTAAAATATATAAGCTTATAATGCTTTCTCTTTCTTTTGCCTGTTATAGTACAGAAAAGAATTATTTTTAATAGCCTAAATCTATGTATTGTTTCTTACTTTTATGAAAAATGAAACTTCTGGCACATGGGTTTTCAATTTATGAAAAAGATTTGTATATGATCTATACTTGTATTCTGATAGAAATTTTCTTTTTTTGGTTTGTATACTATTATATTTTTTTCACAAAGGATTTATTAATTTTCAGTACTCTTTTTGGGGTTATTGTGCTGCTATGAAAGTTAGTATTATCATTTCTGACAATTGCCAGTGGGCGTATGTTACCTTGCCTGGCAAGCTATCTTTGGTTTCTTTAGATGAGATGATGATTCTACTTGTGTTTGTTAATCAATATCTATTTCCTTATTTGGTATAGGTATGATAACTCTAACCATGCTTTGGTAGCATTTGGTAATAATGTTTTCCATAGGTGGGACAGGAAGACGACAGTTAAAATTATCAGTAAGTTGCTGTGTGCGTATGTAGCTCTTTGGCTATTTCTTGCCAATTTTTTTTCAAATTTGCACAATCCTGATTTAATCTTATGTTCATCTTTTTGCAGATAAATGCAATTGTTCTATCAAGACAATCTAGAATCAAATTTAACACAAGCTGGTAAGTTATTTACAAAGATATAATTTAAGGTGGATGTTCCAATTCAAAAAATCATCACACATGTGATATATCAGATTTATTGCTCATCATTAACACTTGAAGGCCAATTCTTGCCAGATTTTGACATGGAGAAGGGTAATATAGGAGAAGCCTAATACCCAATCCTCAATCTTTCTAATTCAGTATCTCTAGACTTGATTTTTTTTCTGGTATATTACCTTTTGATTTATACGGTTACGAAAATGGGAAATTTGCATATTTTTCGAGTCTTCAGAGAATCTATTATGTGAACTTGGTCCTTTTCATCATTTAGTTTGATGTAGCTTTTTAACAATAACTTTATTTAAGCAGTCTACCTAATACTTTCCGAAATATGCATTACTGATAATAGGTGATTTTGATATTTATAGTTTCTGTTTGAGACTTAACTTGGTGGAAAAATTCATAATAATCGCATTTCCATTCCTGTTTAGATTTGTTGACGAGTTTTTGTCATGTCTTTCCTGAAGTCTTCATTCATTTCCCAATAATGTACCCTATAGATATTCATAAAAATTTTTAAAGGTTTTTAATATGTGTTATTGCCTTTGTCCTTGAAATCTGATCTGACTGCCAGAAAAAAGGATTGAAGCAGATAGCATCAGGTTACCAAGAGGCAATTGCCTGGCTGTCCCATTTACGAGTAAACTCGCAGTCCATGCATCGCTGTTCTACACGGACCATTTTCCCAAAACCACTGTTTGGTTTATCAACAATATGGCCCTGACTCGGGTGGGCAAGTATCGAACAGCTGGAGTAGATTAGACTTGAATACTATATACTTTTTCTCCGCAATGTGGTCTGCAGGTGTAATGGGTGGTGTTTCATCCTTCTCCTCCATGGTTTTCGTCGTCAGCTTCCTTAATCGAGATGTCCGTAGGATGGTAGTCTGGGTCGCAGTCTTTTGCCTTTAGTGATTCTGACTTGATGGGGCTCCCCCTGTCAAAATGCAACCATGGTAAACTATCGTCATCACTGCTCACCATGGACAACCATGATCAAACCATGGTTAGATGTGCTTTCCACCGTAGTCGACTATGGTCAGCATGAATTTCTCACCTTGGTTCACGATGTTCATATAGTCGACCATGGTTGAACATGCTTTAACCTCACATGATTGACCATGGTCACACATAAAAAATAGTTGACCATGCTTAGAGATCACAAGCATTGATTTTTCACCTTAGTGACCATGGTTCACCATGCTTGTAAGCACAAAGATTACGAGATGACCATGGTTCACCATGCTTGTTAGCTCAAATATCACGAACATGGATTTTTCCACCTTAGTGACCATGGTTCACCATGCTTGTAAGCACAAAGATTACGTGATGCTTGTTAGATCAAAGATCTGATGAGCCTAGATTTTTCACCCAAGTGACCATGGTTCACCATGCTGGTTAGCTCAACAGGTCATGAGCATGGATTTTTCACCTAAGTGACCATGGTTCACCATGCTCGTTAGATCAAAGACCATGCAGGTAAATTCTGGGAAGTCATATTCATGTGGTATCATTTAGTCACAATAAATACATAGTGTTAAATTGATATAATTACACTATTTATTACTCTTTTATTCCACAGTATACATATAAACTAAAACCCCACCAACGTCCATAACCTCTCTCTGACCTTCTCGCATTCACTCGTCCCCTCTCATACATAACTCTTACATACATCTTTCAGACTACAATTACATCACAAGCAGACGACATGAACTTAATACAGATAGACAAACAATCTCCCATTTTACTTTTTTAAGGATATAAAATTAAATAACATAACAGAAAAGACCTAATTGGTCTTGGTTAAGAATGTTATGGGACAGTATATAACAATAAGTTTATTGGATATAAACTTGTCCAGAATTAAGAACTCCAAGCAGTTGTTTATTTGTAGCACCTTTCTTGGTCATACAATCTGCAATTTGACAACTGCTTGGAATCCAACTAACTTTGGAAAGTTCTTGATATGCGAAGTCTCTTTTCTTGAACAAGCTTGGTTGAGTATATATTTTCAAAAATAGATTTGTTGTCTGTAAAAAATAAAAGTGGTATAACATTTGATTTTACATTTTTGTATAGCATTTCACTTAAAAGAGATCTTATAAAATAAGCAGTATCTAACCCATCTACTAAGGCTAAAGTCTCAGAGGCAATGGTGCTCTTTACAACTCGACGGATCTTTCTAGCATGCTATTGGTGGACATTTGTTATTAGTACCAACTAACAGTACTATGTTAAATCAAGTACATCAAAAGAAAGATCTGGTCTAGATTGGGTTGCAACCCAATTGACTTGGCCTATAGTTTCACGTAATGAGCGAATCTCATCACTAGTAAGATCATCAAATTTTCGAGATGCACGTCCTGGTATAAGTGTAATTGACTGAACGGAACTTATATAATTGTTTTGATGCAATATAATTCCATCATCACATTGATTTATTTCTAGTCCTCTATATCTAAATGTATTTTCTTCTATTTTTCCAGTCACAAATTTCTCAGTTACTTTATCTACCACTTCTTTTTTAAAGTTTGCTGTTCCAGCCCAAATGAAGTTATCAACATGTAGGATGAAAATTCCAGACAAATCATTTTTGTCATCATACCAAAAGAAGAATGCTGGATCGACAATTGATTGAATGCAGGGTCTATGTTTAAGTTCTGAACATACGCTTAAAAACCAATTTCTAGATGCATCAGCTAGCCCATACACGCATTTAATCAATTTCCAAACTACATCATCACAATTTGCCTCGGGTGGTAGCGTAAGGAAAACAGAGGTTAAACACCTCTGAGCAGTTTCTGTCCTCATTACGTTTATATTTATATATAAGTCTTCACTATCAAAATCAAGACCTTTGTTTTCTTCAGAAGATGTGTCCTTCACGTTTAAATAAGAAAAATATTTACCAGTAGCCTTGCCACCACGACTGACCACTTTTGCAACAATCCACGGATTAGTTTTATTGAGTCTATTAACAATGTTATCATTAACTCAAGGTAATTGAACAGTGTTGTCATGTTCTATATTATCTGTTGCAGGTTGATTTTCCACCGCTGGTTCAGGAGCTATATTTTCAACAGTTAGTATTTTATCATCATTCTCATCATCATCAACCATATTTTGATTTGAAGAGTTACCACTTTTAACAGGTTCATCAGTGTTTATTGGTTGCAAAGAAATATCTCCTGTATCTTCATTGTTCTTGTTGTCAGCAAACTCATTACCGACATGTAATAAACAACATGTAGGAACTTGTACATAAACACTACCATAACGAACAAAAACAATTTTATCATCTTGGCCTATTACTCTGCCTGGTCCACGCCACTTGCTACTGTCATCCAGTTTGAAATATACCTTATCACCTTGATGAAACAGTTCGTTTGTAGCTCTAATCTGATGTCTCAATGCTCTTCTTATTCGCTCTGCTGATTCTGCTGCCACAAAAGCTCTGCGTCCACTATGAAGATCATTGAGATGTTGGGCGAAAGTTTTGTTAATTGTACATCCTTCCAAAGCTGGTGGTTTGTCTGAGAGAACTGATGAAGTT